AGACATCATGGCTTTGAGGTCTGCCTTTTCCTCCTCGAGAAGGATACATCTCTCTTCTGATCCATTGCTTTTGATTTCCGCTAACACCAGAACCAACGAATTTCTGCTGACTCTCTTCGATCGTTGGTCGGACCGTTTGATCTACTTTGTCATTTTTTCTTTTATTCTGGTTCTCGATCTTCTTTATCTGTTCTAACCTGAAAGCTTTAGCAGCCGATTTATCAAACACCGCACTGCACCGAGGGCATAATGACACCTCCTCGTCGTTTTCTTTCTTCCTATTTAAAAACTCAATTAAGGAATCCCCTGATCGAGGGTAGATCTCCTTTTCGAACTCTTTCTCGAATTCACTCAAATCAAATTCCATATCTTCTTCAGACACGTCCATTCTAACATGTTTAGGATCAATGTCTTCAGCAACATCGACCATGCCTATAAAGGCCGAATTTGTTAATCGGACATCATCAGTAATGCCTGTTTGGGATTCGAGGTATCCAACTTGAGCCTCGAAGGGACTCGTGTCGACTTTCATTGTCATTTCCTCGAACTTCAGCCTTCCTTGGTCGATCGCATCTTGGATCGTGTTCCTGAAATGTATGCAATTGTTAGTCCAATGTCCATAAACATTATGAAATTGGCAATATTTTCGACCATTCCTTTGTCCTGCAGAAGGCAGTTTATGATCATCACTTAATTTAATCTGTTTATCTTTCAGTAAGATATCGAAAATTTTATCGGCCTTTGTCACATCGAAAGTATATGTTCGATTTGTCATCTTATCTTTTACTTCATTCTTTTGTAGCATTTTACAGATATACGGAGTTCCTACTCTAAGCTCTGCTATGTTTACTTTCTCATCGACAGTCTCTTCCACATCATTTTCTGTCGTGGAATCTGTTTCATATACATCATTTATATATGCTATTCTTTCTTTCTTCATTGGTTTCTCAAATTTCTTATATCTTTGTTTTTCATATTCGATTTGTTCTACTCTTCTCACTTTATCAGCTAACTGAGCCATATCATTCAATGGTAAATTGACTAACTTTTTCCTAATCGAGAATTCTAAACCTGCAGAGGCCATTCTGACTAATTCATATTCAGGAATTTGAGTAAAGCATCTCGATTTCATTTGTCTAAATCGATTCAAATAATCATCTATGCTCTCATGATTGTATCTCTTTATGTTCATCAAGTCGATGAGACTTACTTGAGTTTCTCCTCTAAAGAATTGCTCATGAAAATTTCTTTCCAATTGCGACCAATTATATATCGAATTGGGTGGCAATGAAGTGAACCAAGTAAAAGCATTCTTAGTCAAAGAGCTAGGAAAATATTTCATTTTTAATTCTTCACTCATCGCTAAATCCCCGCATTCAATCTGATATCGAGCCACATGCTCGATCGTCGATTCACCAACTTCTCCAGCAAATTTAGTGAATTTGGGTACTTTATATCCTCGAGGCAATTCTGTTTCGAGAATCGCATTCGGAAAGGGAGATACAAAATATGTCTGATTAGGTGGTCTAAATTCCATCCCTTGTAAATTTATCCTTTGTCCTAACATGTGATTGTTTTGCATGTTATTTTGATTACACATGTTTTGAAATCCTTCATTTATATTTCCATAAATATCATTTCTCCCATGTTGATATTCATTCCCTATTTGTTGATTATTGTTTCGATTTCTTCTCAATAGATATGGGGGATTCATGTTAGCATTTTGGTTAACATGATTTTCTACCCTTGTTTGTCGAGGTATTGCCAATGCATCCCCGATACGTGACATTTGATCTGCTAATATCTCGAAACTAGCAGTAGTGTTTTGGACTAACGGATTTAAGACTGTAGTCAACTGTTGTGATAACATATTCACCATCTCAAAATTACTCTCATCCATTTGTTGTCTAAGTATTCCTAAGGAGTTACTAGATATTCCAGTACCAGTATTTTCGATAGTATCAAAATTAGATCGATGATAATCCCTATCGAACGCATATCTCCCATTATCTAAGTTTTCTCTATGATCTAGATTTGGAGTTATCTGTTGTGTGCCTGAATTTTGTCCACTCCCTGAATTCTGGGGGATTGTTAGGTTTTGAGATACCCCTAAATTTGGAGAGACTCCAAAATTTTGCGGCATTCCTAGTGTTTGAGGCATCCCTAAATTATATCTCGGAATTCTATGTACCGATGAAGTACCAGTCCCATTCAAATTATTGAGCGAAAACCCAAGCGGTCTTACACTCGCATATGGCCCTGCATATGTTGTTGTAAGATTTCCCATGGTTTGCGTACTGTTTAGTGCCGCCGTACTAGATCCTACTTGGGTATTTGCTAAAGTGCCCGAATTTTGTTCATTACTCACGAGTATCGACATAGTTGTCGATATTACGAGCATACTCCCATTGTGCCCTTGCCCCCAGTATTTGGTGGAGGCACACTATTTAGACCCTCATTATTGTTCTGGTTATTTGATGAACTCTGACTCATTCTTACAACTCTCCCACTCCTTAATCTCATACACTTACGAACTAACCAATTTTGTGTTTTTCAACACAAACGTCCCCTACCTGGCGCGCCAATTTGTTTCTGGTGGAATTTCGATCGATTTCGGTTCTAAGGGTATTTTGGTCTTTAATCGAAATCCTCCCACGTAAGCTCTTTTTACTTAGGCTAACAATTTGATTTTCAATCGAAAACGTGTATGAGAATCGAAAATTAGAGGATATCGAAAATGCTGTTTTTGGTATTTTGTATTTAAAGTATCGAAAGCAGTAAAAGTATCGAATTAAGAAACAATGTTAAATCGCAAGAAAATGTAAAGAGCGAAAATCCCAAAATTTTCCTTAATTGTAAATGACAAGAAATCGAAATTGCATAAAGTAAATAACCCCAAAAATCGAAATGTGCGGCAACGTAAATGACAAGGAAATTAAACAGTAACAATGTAAATGTCGAGAAATCGAATTTGCAAGAAAAGTAAATGACAGGAAATCTCAATGCAGAAACTTAAACTTTCATTGAATCGAAATGACAAGAAATCGAAAATATAGAAACATAAAATTGCTGAATTTAAGTTGCATCAAAGTAAATTACCAAGGAAAATACAGAAAACGGTAAATGTACTCAGTGAGCAGGAAAATCCAGATTGCCAGAAGCTTCATGATGCTCGTCGTTCTCCAGTAGACTTTTCACTACTGATTCTGTTCTCTGCCAATTTTTTGCTCCCCGTTTCTTCCTTCTTTGCTCTATTTATAGTGCATCGTTCAAGTCTTCCAAGAGTAGTTAACACGGCTGCTACCACGTTCTACGTGCATATGACGGTTTTATCTTCTACAGTTTCCCACGTTCTCACGATCTTTGATTTTCTCCATGGTTTCGAAACTGCTCTCTATCCGTGTGTTTGACTTATTCTTGTCTTTATGGTTTAGCCAAAATTTTCGATGTCTGCATTGGCTTCCTTTACTCCCGATTTTATATTTTTCGAGAACTTCGAATTGCTTACGATTCCTTTTTAACCCTAGTCTCATATGACTTAGTTTTTATTCGACAACAGGCATTTGGTTAACATTCACTCGGTTTTCGATTATACTTCTCGATACTATATGTTACGTACTTCTAATTAGACATCGATCTGAATCTTATCGAAGTCACATTCCTTTTCTTCATTTTCGATCGCTTTCCGATTTGCCACTAACACAATAATAATCAATTTTAAATTTAGTTTTCACCATTAATAATTTATTTATTTATAAATATAAAATTAATCCAAATTTTCAACAAAAACTGCATTTTATTTATATCTTTTTAAAAATGTTAAAAAAACGAAAATTTTGTTTGGAGCTATTTTTTACCTATGGGTACATAATTAGATTATCATAATTTGATTTCCTTCAGTCAAATTCTTAACTAAAAAATGGGTTCAGTAAATAATTTGGCAAGAGGTTTATTTAAAAAAAAAAAGATTAGGTTAATTGGGGTAAAATTTCTGAGTGTTTCTTAAGAATAGTATGCGACTGTTGATCGTTAGAAGTTTTTTTTAATGAATAATACACCGGGAAAGCTGGGATTTTTGTCCGTACAATATATTATTTTGATAACAAAGCCATTCCTGTGATAAATAACAGGAAAAATTTTCAATCGTCTCAAATAAAGAATCTGACTGTTTTAAAAAATATTTATATTAAAATTTCATAAATATTCCATAATATTGAAGAAAAAACATTTATTTTAGAAAGAAATTAATCGATAAAAAAATAAGCAGGAGAAAGCGATATTAAATATTCTGACACGGGTACTCTACCGTGCTAACGCATGTTCCACGATCACAAATATATTGGTTTTTCCCTGTATTTTCTATATGATAATATATGATACGATTCTCAAATGTTAAAAAAAAAAAGTAGAAGTGGTTGTCATCGCTGGCAAATTCTGCCGTACTACCACCGACACTCATCCATTAAAATCTTGACCAGTGTTGGGCAAGGCAGGTAAAAAAAAAATGTACTGTCATAAATGCACTAGGGACACTTGTTGAGAAAACTATTTATAAAAATAAAACTTCTCTACAATCTAAAATAGTTATAAGAATTCTGTTTAACTTTAAAAAATTATGACATTGAAAGGGAAAGGAATGAAACTTAACTTTCCCCATCATTTTTGTTTGTAGGACAAGACATTGGCAATTATCTGATCCCGCCCAATTCAATTTTCTCACTCCCTTCAGCCTGCAAATTCAAGTTTCAACGTAGCCATGGACCACCAGCGAGATTAGATCATTGAAGATTAGATGAGTAGTATAATTTAAAATAAATTCAAAAAACTTCATTCACATTCCTCACCCCCCTTTTTTTAAGGAGAAAAGCAGGGCACTGGTACAACACTACAAAGCCAAATTAAATTACACTTTTTCTCTTTTAAGATATATATATTTATAAAAAAGACAGAAAAGAAATAAAAAGATTATTTTACAGTTTCTCTAAAATCCCAAGATAATCTTAGTACTGCTCATTGCCGACATCCTTCGACGACGGCAACGACGACATCGAGGAACTTGAGTTTCTGCAAAACACGGCGCGTTCCGCGTCGTGAACTTCACTCGCGACCAGAAAGTGCCCCAACGAATCCACCAACTGGACCAGATTCTCTTGGCAGAGAAACTCGTCACTGAAAACCCTCTCCACCTCTCTCCCAAAATCGTGGACGAACACGTGGGTCTTGCCGGCCTTCATGCTCCGGGCTAGGACCGCTGCCGTGAATATTGCCGACATCCGCCCGGGCGCTGCCGGAAAGTACCCCCTGGGCCCGTCAACAAGAATGACGTCCCACGCCACTTGATAAATGTGGTTGGGCAGATCGTTGATGGCGAGCTTGCATTCGGAGAACAAGAGGTTTTGGACGGGCCTGCAGTCGGTCTGGGCCTGAGCTTGGGCCTGAGAGAGAAGCTTGGGGTAGTCGGTGACTTTGGTGGTGAACTGGATATCGTAGGCTTCGACGCCGGGGTTGGATTGCTCGAACTTGGAGATGAAGTATTCGTTCTCGTCGAGGAAGACGGTGCGCCCTTGGTGGTTGAGTGCGGCCCAGAGGAGGGACTCGTGGGTGAGGCCGAAGACGAGGAAGTTGGGGCGTGGGGTGTGGAGGAGCGCCTTGGAGACGGCGGCAATCTCTGCAGATGTCATGGGTTTAGCGGAGGCGTTGGAGGCGGCGGCGTAGTGGAGGAGGGCTTTGGAGACGGAGGGCGGAAGAGTGGATAGTGCAGCGGCGGAGGTTGAGGTAGCGGTGGAGGAGATGGTTGTGGTGACGAGGGTGCAGGTGAAGAGTAGGGTGGAGAAGAGGAGGAGGAGGAAAAAGAGAGAGAGGCGAGGGGAAGAGAAGAGTGTTGTGGCGTTTGTTGGGAGAGGTGTTTGCTTGTGAAGGGAAGGGTGGAGGAGTATTAGTTTGGTGTTGGAATTGGTCTTCATTTTGGTGTAGAAGGAAGAGAGTGTGTTTTGGTTTCTTCACTTTTTTTGGGAGTGACAGAGATGAGATGAAGAAGGTGCATTGAAGTTAGGAAGCGACAGAGGAATCGCGGAGTGGATTATGAGGGTCACACGAATCCCCAGACTCCTGCCATAGGTTGTGGGGACTGTAAATGCTTTGGTCCACTCTCTCCTCCATTCTTCAAATATCAAATACCCCCCAAACCTACCTTTTAATTTATACACTTACCTTCAGTTTGGATACACCGTATACTTTATGGAGAAGAAACCGAGAAGTATATAAGGTATAACTGCCAGGAAGGAAAATGGGAGTTTTTTTTTTTTAAGAAATTAGTGTAATTTTTTATTTAATTTATTAAAATAGATAAATTTTATGAAACACGGCTTTAAAATAAGGAAATTGTGTTTGGCTATTTTAGTATAATTTTTTTCAAGTAGAAATCTTATTATGAAGTATAATTTTTATATATTTAAGTTATATAGAAGCAATATTATATATTACAATTTCTATTTTTTACTTCTTTAATAATTCTTTTTATTATTGTTATATAATATATTTTTATATTATTCTAATATAAAAAATATTATTATTGTTAGAAAAAGAGACTGAGATCATGAGGGGGTGAATTGATCTTTGAAAAATTTTCGCAACAGATTATCTATTTCAAAAATTAATATTTCAGATCTGTTCTTGAATCACACAGTAAGCAATCAAAAAATAAATGTAGCAATAGAATTAAAGAAAAGAAAGGTTTAGAAAGATATCACCAAGGTTTATACTGGTTCACCCAATCTCAGGACTACGTCCAGTCTCCAGCCAAATTCCAGCTGGGTTCCACTAGATTGAATGTTTTACAGATTACAACCTTAACCTTACACTCAATCTACCACAAGAACCACAATTTCAGTTCCTGCACCTAACATTTCACCAAGAACCAAATTCCAGTTCTTGATAACCTCTACAACCAAATTCCAGCTGCAGAGAAATCAGTGCCCACAATTCCAGGCACCAACAATACAGAAAAGAATGTAAAGAAACAAACGAAGAAACTAGAATGCTCAAACCAGTTTTATGCAATTCTACGGTATGTTGTTTCTTCTAAAAAGAATGCAATTTTGCCTCAAGAAAGAATTCTTTTGAACTTCACAAAAATTGCGCGAATCTTTCTTGAAAGAAGTACTTTTGATTGCTTGAATGATTGCAAAAGGATGTGTATCAGATGTTTTTAAATGATCAAGCAATTTAGTTTATATAGAAGATTTTCAAAACTGCTGGTTTAATTAATCAGTTAAAATAATCTTTTAATCTGTTAAAAGCCTTGTTTTAATCTGTTAAAACTTCTTTTAATCTATTATAACGTTCTTGATTATTTTCCAGATTTGTTTTAAGCTGATATGACAACGTTTATATCAATTAAAACTCTTTACAAAAAATCTTCTAATTTGATTTAATCGATTGTTTAGTGTTTCAATCGATTAAAATACTTGCAAAACTTTCTTGTAAATTTTTCCAAGTGATTTTAACTAATAAAAATATGTTTTAATCGATTAAAACGCTTGTGTAGAAATTTCCTTAAGTTGTTTTAATCGATTGAAAGCGTGATTTAATCGATTAAAATAATTATGATCGGTCATAACTCAATTCTGATCGATCATATCTGATTCTGATCGGTTATAAACGCATTTTGATCGGTCATATTGTACTCTAAGTGGTTTTAATCGATTGTTCCACATTTATATCGATTAAAATATTGTCAAAACACTTCTCTTAATATTTTGAGTGATTTTAATCGGTTATTTCGAAGCTGTATCAGTTAAAATACTGACAGAAGGTTTTCAAAACTTTCTTTAATGAAAACAATCGGTTATTTCGAATTTATATCAGTTAAAACCTTGTGTATAAAATTGTTAAGAACATTTTAGTTGATAAAGCTTATATGCTATTAGTTAAAAATAGTTGATTCAAAAGTTTTTATCAAAATACTTTGTTTTTAACTGTTTAAACGTTTTTAGAGGCATTTTGCAAAATCTTTTAAGTGAAGAAACCTCATGCAGCAGAAAAGATAAAAATGATTATACCTAAGCAGAGCTGCAGACACACTAATCCATCTACTCTTTTATCTAAGTGACTTTTGACTGCCACAAAGTTGCCTTTGACTTCATTCTTGACTTCATCAAATCAACAAGATCTTTGCTAGAGTATTTCAATAAGATCTTCATTACTTTTAGTCTCCCCCTATTTGATGAAGACAAACACCACTTTGAATAATAACTCTGCAAAAGAAGTCACTTGATAATATAGATTAGTGAGTAACCAAAAAATGAATTATTTTCCTATTTCTCCCCCTAAATTGTTGCTCCCCCTAAATTTATGATACCAAAGTAAAACAACTATTTCTCCCCCTTTTGACTTCATAAAAAAAAGGGAACAGAAGAAAAACAATGCATGGTATTTATCATGTCTTTAGATTTCGAAAATTGAAAAAAAATGGATACGATACTTTACTCATGTAAAGACAAATCAAAGTTTATTCAAGCTTATCTTCATTAACACGTTTGTAAAGAATACAATTAACGTATGTAAAGATAAGGGAACCACGCTTTAGTAGTATGTTACAAGAACAACCATTAACTAAAGCCTTTAATTTTTCTTTCCAGAATAAAAATCGATTAAAAACAGGACAAAATCGATTAAAAATTTCTTGTTAATGGTTTTAATCGATTGAAATAAAGGTTTAGTCGATTAAAACAGTGAAGGAATTCAAAAGTTTGAAACATAAGTTCATTTAATCGATTAATTCGACATTTAATCGATTAAAACAGTAAGAAAAATTATATACAAATTCTTTTAATCGATTTAAAAGATTTTTTATTGATTAAAACAACCAGTTTTGAAAACTAAGTAATGTTTGATGCATCTAAAATGCCTAATTCAGTGCAAATTTTGTAAAACCGATCATTTAGAAAGATGTTTTACAATAATATCAACTGCATCGATTAAATTTTAACCAATAGATCCATCAAAATTAGAATAAAATTTTATTTAGCTAATTCAACAGATGTAAACTAGTTTAAATCGATTGATACGCAGTTTAATCGATTAAATCCATTTTGTACCAGCTAAAAATATCAGGGATCTATGTTAAATTCCATCTAGGCTAGTTTGATTCGATTTAAAACCTACATTATATTAATCAAAGCTAGAAAGATTGTACCTGGTATACAACCAGTAAATATTACAGACCAGAAATTGAAATTAGCATCAAAGGAAATAAAACATAAAAGAAAGATAAGAAGGGACCCTTTTTATCCACAAATTCAATCATCCCAGTTTCCTTGGTTCAGCTGCATATCTTCCAGCTTGGTGTAGATATCAGCAATCTGGTTTCCAAGGGATGCGAATTGATTGTTTGTTTGCTGGAAATGTTGATAAGTCATCTGCATATGCTTTCTTATTTTCCTGCATTGCGACCATTTGAGAAAGCATTGTTCTTTCAAATTGAGATAAAGGAGTCCCACGGTCAAGTTTGCTCCATGTAAGGAATGATTTCCATATTCTCATATGAAGTTTGACCATTGGTTGACTCAGGAACCTCTGCGGCAGTCTGGAGAGGAAGGAATTTGGCCTTGTTCATCTTCATCTTCATCTTCTCCCTCACCCTCAGACATCCCAGCATCAATTTTAGAGATCCATTCATCATCAACTTTTATATATCCCATTTTTCTCAAGGTAGAGTCGTCAATTTCATTTGATGCCTTGGGGGTTTCTATGCTCTCCCCAGTAAGATCAACTTCAAAATATCTAAAGAAATTATTAATTAACATGGCATAAGGCAGTTTGAAATCTGCCAACCTTTTTGCCTTTAACATGTGATCTTTAATCACATAAACCCAGTTTACCCGAATATTGTTAAAAATGCAGTACATGAGGGCAAGATCTCCCTCATTAAGAATAGCATGATTACTCCCTCTTGGAGTAAGCATCCATGCCACAATAAAAGCAAGTAGTCTATGTTCAAGTGCAAGTTTTCCAGCATTTAAAATTCTTACCGAATCATTTGGATCCTTAAGGCAAGACCGGAAAAACTGAATTTTGTTGAAGTCAGGAATCTCAGAAATATTTCCTCTGGACACTTTGACACCTCTATCTTTTAGACCAGCAATTTGTTCCCATACAGAAGGAGTAATTTCCATATTCACTCCCTTCACTTGAGATCTAATTGTTGAACCATTCACGGTTGAGTTTGAGTAAAAGACCCGAACCAGATTAGGCTGTATGTTCCCTGTGAACTCCATGAAGGTTCTCAGCTTTTGACTTTTCAGTTTTCTTCTCAACCCCGTAAATCCTTCTTCATCAAGCCATTTGTATTTGATAAATTTTGGAATAACAATCTATTTCTGACTAAACTCAAAAATGAAAGTGTTCATTTTTCCAATATCCCCGTCAAACCATGCTTCTAAATGACCACCAGGATTAGCAGCAGAGGAAGATTCCCCTTTTTGCTTCTTTCTTGACTTTGATCTTCTTAGCATCTTGTTGTATAGTTTTAGAGAAGGATTTTTGAGACGTGAGTACAAGAGAAAAAAAAAAGAGATTTGAACCAGAAACTGAGGAATGAGAATAATGGATTTCAAGTGAGCATAATGAAAAGTCACGGGTGATAATTTTCGTGAATAGCAATTCAATTTGACAAAACCTGCAGAAAAATAGCTTTAATTGCACATGTCCCCTTGACTGAAGGCAGAGGCACATGTTTCTGAACAATGGGTACATCACCTAAAGTGTTCTTGGGAAGATGTTTGACTTGGTCAAAGAACATTAAAAAGAATTATGCAGATTTTGATTACCACAAAAACTTGAGATTTTGACTCTGATTTGCTGACTAATTTTCAATTGAATGTTGTAAAAATAATTTTCAGAAACAATTTAACCGATTAATCAGCAAATTAACCTATTAATTTGATCTTTTAATACTAGATTT